GAGCTCCTGTGAGAACAAGGCTGATGTTCTCACTCGAGTGCCGCAGAAGTGGCTGTCGGCTGCGTCCAACGGTGTCACCTGCGCCGCCGTCTCCAGTGACGAGGCGGCGGAGGAGCTGTCAGAAATCCGCAGAGTGCATGAACTCCCTGGACATCCAGGAGCTAAGCGCACCCTGTATTTCTGCAGGCGCGCCCGGCCGACGACGACAGTGACCAAGCGTCAAGTGAGAGAGGTGGTGCGGGACTGCCAGCGCTGTCAATCTGTTGATCCTTCACCAGTCCCGTGGGAGAGAGGGGGGCTGGGTGTGTTGGAAACGTGGGAGCGACTTGCAATAGACGTGGCGCATGTCGGTGCCGCTCACTGCCTGACAATCCTTGATTGCGGTCCCTCCCGGTTTGCGGTGTGGAGGCGCTTACGGCGACAGGACAGTGCCTGTGTGATTGAGCAGCTAGAACAGTTGTTCTGTGAACGGGGAGCTCCGTTGGAGCTACATACAGACAACGCTACGGCCTTCCGCGTTGCGGCATTTGGAGACTTCGCGCGGCGGTGGGGGCTCGCCGTCCGGTTCCGTGCAGCTCATGCACCGTCTGGAAACGGGGTGGTGGAACGATGCCACCGAACGGTGAAATCTGTCGCGGCCCGGTCACAGTGTTCGGTAGATGAAGTCGTCTATATGTACAATGTGACACCGAAGGGCGGGATGGGACATGAGACTGCGCCCGCGAACGCGGTACACCGGTACGAGCTGCGCGTACGCGGAATTGATAGAGCGGTGGATTAGCCGAGCGTAGTGGTATGTAAGTTTGGTGTTCGCGACAGTGTGTGGGTGCAGGACCCGAGCCGCCGATGTGATAAACAGAGCTCGCTCGGCACCGTCACCAAAGTGCTGTCCGCGCGGATCGTGGAGGTCAACAGTATGCCTCGGCACGTGCGCGACCTGCGTGTCGCCAGGGTGGAGCGAGATGATGCGAGTGAGGAAAGGGGGGGCGGCGGAAAGGCTCTGATGTAGACGAGCCGTGCATGTTCCAATCAACGGCTCCGCGTGTGGATCAGGGCGCAGAACGCGAGGTCGGAAGCCGGGGCGCCGGAGGCAGAAGCCAGGAACGGGAGGGAACGTTGAGGGCCGTGGCAGTTAACGGTCATGATGTGAACCGAGAGCAGCAGCCACCGAGGAGGAGTTGTCGTGCTCTACGGGAGTGTTGTGATCTAAGATCAGGGGGAGTGTGCTGTGTGTACGCCGAGCCGAGCCGGAAAGATCATACAAATTGGCACTCGTCCCCGTTGGCGATGAGTGCGCAAAACCCAAAAGTGCTCACGCTTACGTTCGCGACACGCGTTCAGCAGCGAAATCTAAATAACGGTCAATCACCTCCCGCGGATTGTGTCATACGTGCCGCGTCATCGCTCTTGCGAATGTATCAGCGACCATGCCTTTTGACCATAAGCAAAAAACGGCCGGTAATATAACGGCAATCGTAGGACGTTTCTATGACGACATCGATGCCAAGGTGACTTTGAAGTAGTCTCCCAAAAAACATTTTTGCCTGAAGGGTAGAGGGATCAGGAGCGTATCCAATATTGCTGAGAACATGGAGTAACCATGACTATCCTTGTAATGCTGGATGAGGATGGGACTCTGGCAGCTACCCATTACGCTTTCAGTTGTGGATAGCCCCGGAGGGCTTCTACCGACGCCTAATCAGAAGCATAGGGAGGGTATTCTCTCCGTATTTGACTCCCCAGGCACCGACTTGGTTACTTAAAGATCTTACAAGTGGGCATTTTTCACGAGCCTTGATGTTGTTCGGTTACACTTTACCCACTGCATTCCACCCACACGCTACCTACAGTGGGTTTCCCTACCTACCTACCAGCCAGTGTGCCAGTTGGGTCCGCCAGCACGATGGAACCAAGAGCAGAGTGCAAAAGGGCCTGTCCTGGGGAACTTGCGCGAAGTGCGTTTTAGAGGCGGAAGTCCAAACACCTTTTATCAGTTTCTCGACGTTTACTGCATTTCGTTCGAAGCACCGCATATTTGCAGGTAGCAGTGATGCGCACTCTGCATGCGTGTGCAGTTATCAACGAAATCCAAAACTGCTCAAATCACACTCGGCCTTGCTGATCTCAAGTACCGTGACCTTACTCACGCTGTTTGTGACACGGAAACCGTTACTGCATGGTTGGGGATTGTGAGGACCGCCCCGGCGATGAGCGAGCCATGGACTTTTCAAGTCATATTCTCCCAGACAAGTCGGAGGATAGCCACGATGGTGGTACAACTCTTATCATGGTTTGGATCGCAATATTCGGAACAAACGGCGGATGAGCAAGATCGTTGTGCGCTAGTGGAAATGGCCGGAGCAAAGGAAAACAGCACGAGATCACCTAGCCAGCAAACCGCAAAACTGACCAGTCGCCACTTCGCTAGCTTAAAGTCAGGGTCAGTATTTTGTATCTCCACCATCGCACCTGTGAGATGGTGCGAGTCAGTCCTCGTCAGCCGCGTCGGCTTACTGCCCCTCCCCTTCCCTCCCCTCCCCCCCTCCCCCAACACGCATCTCCCACTCCGCCACGTGAACCGTCATGAGGTGCCGCGGCGCGGGCCGCCCGCCGGCCAATCAGCAGACGGAGGACAAGCCAGGCAGGCTCGGACGTGCCACCAGCACCATTCCGGGCGTGTCGAGCGACTACCGGATCGCGCTCCCGCCCCTTGGCGTCGTGCTGTGGCACGGAGCTTTGACGACCGCTGCCATAGGTGATCATCGTCCTCTTCGTGTGAGTGTACGCAGCTGCGCGCGTTTGAGGAAGGGTGTGCAGTTAGCCAGCAGGCCGCATTCGTGTGACTGCAGGGTGAAAAGTCATGTGTGGGATTTCACAGCAAAACATCGTTCGGCAAGTGTCGAACGTAAATGATCATAAGACAAGCGTTTCACGACAAAACGATGCACCGAAAAAACTATAGCTTGCAGCCTGCATGAGACAGATATCGTCAGACAAAACTTGGCGAGTGTAAGGATCGGTTTAACTGATGTCCATCTAAAACAAATCGGTAACACCGCATTGTACGTGGTGAAGATCGCTGGAAAAGGTCGCCGTTATATTTCAAGCACAGTATCACAGCATATGATACATGGGAGCAAAGAGCACGGCAAACCGGCTGTCATCGACCTCTCAAATAGCTAACGTAAGCTGTCGATGCCTCCGATCGTATGACTGGCCTAGCTGTCGGTTCATGCATCGCTTTGGAATTCTGGAAAAGGAAACATCATAAGCATTCGACGAGTTGCATTATTGTTCGAAGAGACAGAATTTCAGAATGTCCCTGTATAGACAGGAGACCATGCCAAGCATTTTAAGTTTATAGGGCTATCATTATGATAACTATACCTGGCTACCTGGAAATCCGCATATCCCATTTTTGTATGCAATCTTTGTCCGGACGAATCTTTGCAGTTGTCATCTTACCATCGTTCGACCTTTTGACGCCTGATGCCTTGCGTAGGATATCTTTTTCATGCGACATGCGATTTTCATGCGACATTTTCCCCGGTTATGGAATAACCTAAGTATCTTACCATACCTACTAGTCCCAAGTTCGAAGTACCCAGTGTTATATTGCAAGTGGCTCAGTTGTCGCAGCACGGTTTCGCTGCGTAATTATTGCACCGGTCGCAGAAATTATTGTAATTAATAAGCAATTTAGTATTGATTCAGGTAATTAACTGCAATTTATGGGTGTTATTGCAATTGAGGAAAAACCTGACTAATTATTGCACCGCATCATCGAGCTTCAGTGTCGCCGATCACCACCAGACATGGAAGCTGTTGTCCAAAGTCCAACGGTTGGACTAGCTTTCCGCCCAACAAGGATCGGAAAATCAGGCTGTCCAAAACTTGCTGGACTTTTTATGATTTACTGCTGCCTACAACCAATAAGCCCAGTCACTTCTCGCGTCCCTGCATTCCCTCATTCGAATAGAATGAAAAGAAAGGAAATGTTCGTGTGTAAGAAAGGTGCAGTCACAGGTTTTTGTAAAAACATCCGCAGTGCACAGCCTGCATTGTTGTCCAGAGAGTTTTACTGTCATTAAGCTTGACGACGGCAGCTTAATCTGATTGCGAGCGGTAACTTATCAAACGTAGGGAAGTAGGGTGCACCACAGGCTCTCCTTCGGCACGACGCCGATGTTGTTGACCCAGACCTGGTTCGCAAGGAGTTCGTTAAGTGGGTTGACACGTTTCCTTATCGGTCTGAAAGGAAACAATCCTTGCTGCCCATCTTTAACCACACCCTCCTGGTGCTGAGGGGCGAGCGCTGGAAGTACGTCCGCCGCATCCTTGACCCGGCCTTCACCTCCAAAAGGCTGAAGGGTATGTCGCCGGCTATGAGCAGGCCCATTAACACTTACCTTGGCGTCCTGGAGTCTAATAGGCTGCAAGGCCAGCCTACCAATGTATACGCCACTTCTCCGCCGGCTCGCTCTGGAGGTGATCGGTAAGTGCACGCTGGGCATGGAGGCACACTGCCAGACGGACCTGCGCGACCCGCTCCTAGGTCATGGATAGAGAAGTTGTTTAGTTGCACTTATATGCTCGGAGTGCTGAGCAATTGACAGCGAACCTGTTACGAACGAAGAGTTGGTCTCAAATGCATTCGCGTTCATCGCAGGCGGCCATGAGACCACAAGTACACTACTAGCTTTTACGCCGTACCTGCTGGAGTGCCACCCGGCCGTACAGAGCCGCCTGCACGTCGAAATCAGGCTAGCGTGCCGGCGACCTCAACTACGACAACGTGGCCAACCTGCCCTACCTAGATATGGTCATCCAGGAGTCGCTGCGCTTTTGCCCGCCCTTCGCGATGGAGTACGGCCGACAGTCGAGCTTCGCAACGGGGACTCAGGGGATCCGCGTGCCGCGCTTCGCCGTCGTGGCCGTGGTACCGATCTGTATACACCACGATCATGGCCTGTGGCCCGACCCATGGCCTGTGACCCGACCCGACCGAACATCGTGTCCTGCAGCCACATGCCGCTCGGCGCCAGGCCACACCACTGCATCGGCATGCGGTTCGCCATGATGGAAATCAAGCTGGCGCTGCGTCAAATGCTGCGCGGTTACCGGCTGCTGCCGACCAGTGAGCCGCTGGAGCTAGCCACCGTTTTGCCGTTTTTCGCACCCGCCTCGGGCCAAATCAACTTGCAAGTGGAGCTTAAAGCAGCCTCATGGAGACGGGGTGACGGACCAAGTGCACAGGGAGTGATAAAGGGTGTGTAGAAAGAGCGCTAAGTGTAGTGCCGAGGAATAGAGAAAAGAAGTGTAGGGAGATCTATAAGGAAATGTTTAGGTAGGGTATAGGGAGTGATAAAGAAAGTGTACAGGGGGCGATAAAGAAAATGTGTTATGGGTGATAAAAGGTGAGCAGATGGAGAGCTGAAACAAATAAGGGAGAGCAAAGGACTGGGGGAGGGGATGAAGGGGAATGGAATGCGTGAAAAGCGAAGATATCGATGGGCGAGTAGTGGTACAGGGAAAAACGTTTGGAACGAAATGAGAGGTGATAAATCCACGGTGGCAGGGAGAAAGGATTGAATGGGTTAGCACGAGTACGAGATGGGAGCGATGGAAGAAGGGACACAGGCGTGGACTTTTTTTTTTAGTCAGGAGCTGGAATTAAAAAAATATTATGTGGGCTCCATGCTCCAATCTAGTTTTCAACTGTGAAATGTCCTGTCCCCAATTCGGGTTAACTGGGACTGCTATCAATATAACAACTATGCTCTTGATCTATTATCTCCATTTTATTGATTTTCAATCCTGTCAGTCCGTGTGACCTGGCGAATTAAAAAAACTCCGTCCGATCCTAATCCATCTTTGGTTGAAATTTCTGCTCCGGTCTATTCCAAGCGGTGGAATTATTCACACTTCCCGGATGAATCTAACCCGTAAAATGCTATAGAAGTCACCCCTAGATGCATGACATCATAGAAACATCGCACGGATGTTGCAGCCTCAATTGCTATTTGCGTGGTGGCGCGTCAGAAGACCTACGCCGCAGGACACCAGGACACCTTGCAAGATCTAAGCAAAGGAGGCCTACGCTTCAAGACCCATGCTCACGGTTCGATGCGCACGAGGCCTACGTGATCTTCTATCTATATATTTTCTATCTACGTGATGTACTTGATAGTTCCGAGCTATCGAGTCGTTGCTGGCAGGGCTGTTGTCACCTATCGTCGAGAGGGTAGGCGAAAGCTAAATTTTACAGACGCAAGTTAGCGTTTTCACGACCGCATGGCTCTGCATCGCAATGCAACATCGTTAACGGCCTGGACGGGAGACTGAGATGAGAAAAATCGTTTAGAAACGTCAAAACAATGCGCTTCGATGACATGTTTGTGTTACCAGACTTAAGCTTTCTGCTACTTCTAATATCGATGCGATTACTTCATACCGCTCACTAGCACCCGAAGCCGGGAGGCATCGCGATGATGCACCCATCCCCATGTTATGCGGTATTTTCGTGACGTCCATGTAAAATTAAAAATTGGGCTTGGCGTTTTGGGACCTCAAAATCCGTTGTTCGGCATGGATGCATTATTTGGTACGAGCGTTTCCTGGTAATCGCTGTCAACGATGTAAGAAATAGTGCTGACCGAAATGGCCCATTTATTGATGTTTTGGCGAAAATGTTTCATCTTACGAGATATCAGGGAGAGGGAGAAACATAGATTCATAATATCGTTTTGCTTACACGCTGATCCGTAGCTCCACAACTAGCTTTAAAGAAGAACGAGAAACAGTGCCTTGCAGCAGGAATGCTCTGGCTAATACAATCTACATTGTCAAGCACATGTTAAACGAGAGTGAGAGAAATGCAGCGAAATTTCCCCAAATATTTTGCGTTTGCTTCTTTCTATTGTTTCTACACATTCTTTTTTGTAAGTGGTTTGGGTATTAACAGAGCCGTATAATCAGGGACAGATCCAGAATCCTGTCGAGGGGGGGTAAGCAACATTTTGGGCCCCCTGGAGCTTGGGGCCCCCTCCAAAAATGTTTTTGCTTTTCCGTCATTACATTTTAAGACATTTCGCATGTCATGTACATAGATAGATTAGATAGATAGATAGATAGATAGATAGATAGATAGATAGATAGATAGATAGATAGATAGATAGATAGATAGATATATATATATATAATATATATATATATATATATATATATATATATATATATATATATGTTTGATTAAAAATAACTGCTGACTCAGCATTAACGAGCTTTTTGATGCACCCTTCTAGCTTCCGGGCCTTTGACTTTGCGTCATCGCTTAGATTTAAGATGGTTCGTACAAAATTATTCATATATTCATCACTCCTTCCATTCTAACGTTTCGAGATCTTATCTCATCTTCGGAGAAGACTAAATTGCACAAGAAATAAGTTTTGAGTTTTAGAGGATGAAAAAATTGTGCACTTCTGTTGGAAAACATCTTTTAGTACGGAGAACATAAATGAAGCACAACTAATTGAAGTAAGACGGATTGCTATTTTCATCTTCATACATGTAAGAAACACTCATAATGGGAACATCACAAAGACACAATGGGAACACTATTGTCACAATCATATATATTATATATATATATATATATATATATATATATATATATATATATATCCATATATCTATATATCTATATATATATACATCTATATATATATATCCATATATCTATATATCTATATATATATACATCTATCTATATATATATATATATATATATATATATATATATATATATATATATATATATATATATATATATCTATACATATGCATTTAATTATTCATTTATCTCTTAAATATGGAAACCCATCTTGCTGTGCACAGCCCTATAAAGCTAGGCGTGCTACGCATGCCTACACATAGACCTCGCTCATTTTCTGCAGATCATGTTAAAAGCTGTGATTTTGAGGCTAAGTGTTTTGGAACAACAGGAAAAATGCACTTGAGTTGGCTGCTAACAGCCATCAAAACCAAGCATACGCTTGATACCTAGCTTATATATTGACGGCTATCCGGCTGAGCGATATAATCAGCTGATGGCTGATGACTAATGCATAATTTTTCCTTGATCATAAAGGAGTACAGCATATCTTATCATTTGAAGTATGTAAGTAAGAACGTGATGCATTTGTATGATAAGTGTCACACTCAGTAGCCGATGAAAATGACACATAAGACGTTGGCAGGTATGTAAACTTACGTTCGGCAGTTGCGCGTAAAAATTCATCGGCACATATTCGACTACTCCTCGGAGCAAGCAAAAAGAACCGAAGACCAGCGTGTTGGGCCCCTAAGCGTCGGTAATTCCCGGTAAGTTGAGCCCATGCCTGTGAAGTTGGCGATTTATTCAACGACAACCTCCGATTTCTCTACAGAAGGTCCCAGGGTGCATTATGACGCGAGAACATGAAAAAATTATATTTATTTGGCAAGGTCATTTGACATGTGAGGTCAAAAGCTGCATCAAAGGACGAGGGATTCAATGTCACCCAAAAGTTACCAACCGACTTCAAAATTGCAAGTGTCAGAACTATCACCATACAAAGAACTGTCGTCCGTCAAAAAGTCCTGACCTTCCAAGGTCAGGTCAAACGCTGGTTCAAAGGATAGGTAGCTTCATATCATCCCAAAATTTCTGGCAGATTTTTACCTTTCAAATATTAGAATATTCACTACACTTAAAGCTATTGTCCGTCAAGAATTACTGACCTTTCAAGGTCACACTTTAAGGTCGAATGTGGGCTGAAAGGACGGGGAGCTCTATATTACCCAAAATTGCCGGTCGATTTTAAACTTATCAGAACCAGAATATTAACTACAGAAAGAATTAGCGTTCGTCAAAACATCTTGACCTCTCACTTCAAGGTCAGAAGCGGCTCAAAGGACAGGGAACTCCATATCACCCGGAAAATACCGGCCGATTTTAAACTTGCCAGAGCACAATATTCACTAGAGAAAGAGCTAGCGTCCGTCAAAATGTCCTGAACTCTAGAGGTCACCCTATAAGGTCAAACGTGGGCTCAAAGGACTTGGGAATTAGGACGGAGAATTAGGTTGACGGACGCTTGTTCTTTCTGTAGTAAATAGTCTGATGGTTGCAAATGTAAAATCGGGCGGTAATTTTTGGGTGATGTGAAGTTCCCTGTCTTTAGGCGATTGAATGTGACCTTGAGAGGACAAAACTTCTGACGGACGCTAATCCTCTCTGAAGTATATATTCTGGTTCTGGGAAATCCTGAATCGGCCTTGAAGGGTGACGTTGAGAGAGCAGGACTTTTTGACGGACGCTAGTTTTTGCACTTGTGAATATCATGCTTGCAAGTTTAAGATTGGCCAGCAATTTTGCGTGACATCGAGTTCCTTGTCGTTCGAGCCCGCATTTGACCTTAAAGGGTCACTTTCAGAGGTCAGTAGTCTTTGACGGACGCTAGTTCGTTCTGTATTGAATATTCTGACGTTTGAAAGTTTAAGATAGGCCGGTAATTTTTGGGCGATATGGAGCTACCTGTTCTTTGAGTTTGAGGTCAGGACTATTTGACGGACGCTGGTTCGTCCTGTATTGAATATTCTGATGCATGGAAAATTGAAATGGGGCGGTAGTTTTTGGGTGACTTGGAGTGCCGTGTTCTTTGAGCCTGAGTTTTTTACTTTGAATGGCGATCTTGAGAGGTCAGGACTTTATGACGGGCACCGGTTTTTGCGCTTGTAAATGTTGTGATGCTTGCAAGTAAAAAATTAGCCGATAATTTTGGATGATATAGATTCCCGTCCGTTGAGCCGGCGTTTCACCTTCAATGTTGACCTTGAAAAGGCAGGACTTTTTGACGGACGCTAGGTCTTGAGCTTGTGAATATTTTGATGCTTACAGTTTTCAAACCGGCCGTAATTTTTGAGTGATATCGAGTTTCCCGTCCTTTGACCCAGCCTTCGATCTTGAAGCTCGCAAAATAGATGATATTGCAAAATAAAGGTCCTGTTTGAAGTTCTCGTGCGGTAATTCATGTTGAGACGTTTTTATAGAGAAACCAGAACTCGTCGCTGAATTAGTCGCTCAATAATTCGATAATTTCACGGGCATGACTCGCCCCGCGGCCGAGTTTCGCTGTTGCCGGCGCAGTAACACACGCCTTCCATCGCCGGTAGCTGCAAAGCCCGGCCCGTGCATATCCGCGAACAAGAAACAAACTCGAATTCAGTTAGTGGTCTGCGTCGGGGAGTTAAGCTGAGATCGCCGGCCACGGCAGGGTCCGACACCTGGCAGCCATACACCGATTTCAAACAACAAAACCAAGGTGATGTAGATGACTTTATGAACTGGAACATTTATAACTTTGGTGCTTGGAGTTTCCCTGTCCCCTACGCCACCTTTTTCCTTTCTTCTCTCCCCGCTTCTTACCTTTCCGCCCACTTTCCCCGTTCCCCGTATTCCCCGCCGAACTCGCCGAATCGACACCAGCCTCACCGATCATATCCGGCAAAGCAGAATATTTTTTACCCCTGAACCTGTGTGCCGTTCTGCCATCTTGCAGCACGCAACATTATAATGAAGCCAGAAACAATAGTAATAGCTGACATACTGTATTGAACAGGGCTGGTAATAGCTATATGGCATAAACAATGAGAATGTGCTGAAATGGCTGCAAAAGCCGTCAGTTAACGATAACTGTACACCTTCTAGTTTGTACAAGCACAAAATAATTTGACACAGTGATTGGGTGAAACACATCTAACACCACTCCCATCATCCACCCCGCCATTACAAAACCCTCCGCGAAATAAGACGAGCCAATCGCCGCCGACCCTAGCACAAACTGTGCCGACAGTGAAACAAACAAACAAACCTTCGGCGGGGGTAGGGAGAGCACAAGGCCGTCTTCGCCTCGGAAGACTTGCATAGACCAGAAGACCTGAACAGCGGCGCGCCGGCCGCCGAGATTCTACACAACAGGGAGGTGCGCGCATCCACGCGTATCACAGCGGCGGCAGCGCGCGCGCGCGAGTCCAGACACGAGCGCATGAGCGCCCTCCGCGGGGAATGTGAGCACTATCAGCGGAGTGAGCGGACAACACAGCGCTGCGGCCGATAGGAATATGGCCGCCGCTGGGCACGGGTCAGTGGATGCCGGCAGCAACGTCTGCAGAGCGCGCTCGTCTGCGTGGCGCACAAGAGAGCTTGAGCTTGAGCGCTGAACAAGAGCTTATCCAGCGCTGAGCCGCATAACAAGTGAGAGGCCGGCACTCGCGAGCCGGTGGTGAAACGTCAGGCCTATGATGAAAAAGCAAGGGCGAGGGTGCGGTCCGCTGGCCAGAGATACCAGAGCTGCCCGGACACCTGTCAAGCTGGTGCCGTTTGCACGCAGACGGGCGGGAGCCTGGTGTCCAGCCGCTGGGTGGAAGCCTGGTGCAGCTGGTGTCCAGCTACCGAGCGGCAACCTGGCGCAGCTGGTTTCCAGCCACCGGGCGAAAGCCTGGTACAGTTGGTGTCCAGCCACCGGGCGGCAACCTGGCGCAGCTGGTGTCCAGCCACCGGGCGGCAACCTGGCGCAGTTGGTGTCCAGCCATCGGGCGGCAACCTGGCGCAGCTGGTATCCAGCCACCGGGCGGCAACCTGGCGCAGTTGGTGTTCAGCTACCGGGCGGCAACCTGGCGCAGCTGGTGTCCAGCCGCCGGGCGGAAGCCCAGTGCAGCTGGTCTCCAGCCGGTCCACGCTTCGGCCGACACGCATTGTTTGACATGAGTCCCAGCGCGCGATTAGGTGAGAAGGCTCTCTCGCTGCTGGGTGACCGGCAACGGCGGCGGCGGCGAGTCGTTGTCCTTCACCAACCGCGGACGCTCCATTGTAGCCAGCGCTTCCACTGCAACAACCAGCAGGCTCTCACCACCAGCCTAGCACCAACTGGGTAACGCAAGGGTGGAGGAAAACGTGCGGGGAAGCTGCGGTAGTATTTTGGGACTTGGGACTAGCTGTTTTTACGACAAATGTATTTCACGTCAATGTAACATAAAATATTAAATGCCCTTCAAACAAATAAAGCAGAAAAACGCAAACGACTAGCAAAACATGGCATCAAAGCTGCGTGCAGTTTTTACCGAGCGGGCCCGGTCTGTCAGCCGAGTGCCGGTTTGATCTCATGCCGCGGCGGCTGCGCGGCCCCGACAGCACGTACCTGCGGTGCCGTGGCGCCCTCAGTGCACGGACGTCGACACTGCAACAGACGAGGCGTGCGTAAAGCCGACTGCTGGTGGCCAGCCGCATGCTGCCAACGTCACACTGAGACAGAAGCAGGCCTCGGGCCGGCGGTGGGCGGTGCGAGCGGACCGTGGCCGCCGCCACTACGCTACGGTTGGCGTCAGCACGGCGAACACGACGGCGTGCGGGACTGGACGGCGTGAGGCGTGATTGGCGCGACCGCGTGAGTCGTGCTGCGGTCGGTGCGCGGCGACATGCAGCCCCGCCCCGCCCTCGGCGGTGTCGGGCAGGTTTCCCCCGCATGCAGAGGGGCGGCCACTCACCGGCCACCCGCTTGCTCTTCTCCGTGACCTGGCGTGCCAGGATCTCGTTAAGCTGCAGGATGTGCGCCCGCTGCAGCTTCTCGGTGACTACCGAGCCGCGCGGCGAGCTCCCGTGGTCTGGCGGCGCGGATGTGGCCGTCAGAAGGGACGTCACGACCAGGAGGAAGGGGGATGTGCACACGCTGGACGAGATGTGCGGGGCAGCAGACAAGTGGAAACGCCCGATGAACCCGAGAGCCCGGGGCGTCCGTCACTGCTACTGCAAAGTAACATCACTCACTAAATATTCCCCTGCGATGAAGCATCCGAGTATCTCAAAGTATGCCATCTCTGACTTAAGCACTCCGGTCGGTGCGCGCTACAGCAGAACGCGTGGACAGACAGGCAGACGTCCGGTCCGAGCGTACCAGCAGTCCCACGCCCTTACCGGTCGTGCTGACCGTGCCGATAGTGTCCAGGAAGCCAGAACTCTGAGTCAGCATCCTCCTGATGGAGGCGGCCTTCCTGCTCCTCTGGAGACGCTCCTCGGCAGACAGTGGTTCAACCTCCTGGAGTCGATGACAACCGCCACCGTCACAACGCCGTGAGACGCCCGAACACAGTGCTGGGTCTCGAAACTTTCAGACGGCACACCACCATCCATGAAAGCGTGGTAATGCAAAAGCATGGATTTTGTCATGGCGGCTCAATTCGTTGCCGTGCCAAAGTTTCGCAAGTTCTAGTTTATGGTATAAAATGTGTGATCTGATAAAAACAAGTCCTGAGTGCAAAAATAATAATAAGTGACGACGTGAGCGCCACGAGGAGACGTGACGCCTCCATCTCCAGCCGCTGCCTTGGGTCGCCGCTCGTTTCCCCAGCCCAGCTCCGACCCCCACCGGCCTCACCAGCTCGGGCACGTAGCGCTCGGGGATGTGGATCTTCTGCGGCGCCCCGAGCAGTGTGTCGATCGTGTCGGCGTCGTAGCGCAGATCGGTGCGCGTCAGGGACGACTTGACAACGTCCGGTGCGCTGCCGGCTGAGCCTAGCGCCCGGTCCATATCCATGTCGTCCGCCGAGCGGCCGTACTGCGCGGCAAAGCGGCGTCAGAATGGGCGGCGGTGACGGCAGAGCGGGGAGACGTCACGTCAGAACAGAGAACATCGGAGAGCCTGGGAGGCTCAAGGTGAATGGAGCGAGCAGACAGGCAGGTTGAAGAGACCTGCTATGGATGGAGGACAATAAGACCCATCACACCGGGTTATGAGAAGACAATAAGTGGGCGCAAAGGTCAACCAAAATCCTGTTACTACGTTGAAAACGTACCAAAAAAGAAACAGAGTTCGCAAGGAATGTTTTTTTGCCTTAAAAACTACAACTTTGCATACAGTTATTATGCTTCGCAGCCACGCATACCAATCACACCTACGACCCAGATTGCAAGCAAAAAAAAAAAAAACACACACACACAACAGCCAGGTAGCCCACTAAGGAAGCACCCATGCGTCCAGCCGTGGCGGATGTTGGGGTGTCGACGGGAGGTCCTACCAGCTTCTGGGGCGGCGCCGCCTCGTGCGCCACCGGTCTGCTGCTGGAGATGGTAAAGTGCCGCCGTTTGGGTCGCGGCCGCGCGCGCCGGTACTGCTCCGGATCTTGCAACTCCTCTACGATGCGGCGCGCCGCGTCCGACTTGAAGACGGGCGAGAGTGGCAGGTCGACGCCGCGGCCCTTCGCGTCCGGACCAGCTATCTTCGGATCCTGACTGGCCGTCTTCGGGTCCGGGCTGGTCGTCTTCCCGTCGGATCCGGCCGTCTTCGGATCGGATCCGGTCGACTTCGAGCCGGGTCCGGCCGGATCTGGGTCGGTGCCCTTGGCGTCTGGCTCGTGCAAGCTCGGGTTGGAGCCGAAGAGCCGTTCGTGTGCAGTCAGCCGGTCATGCGAAGGAGACTGGTGCCGGGAACAGGCCGTCAACGGGAGCTCAGGCACGCGCGGGCCCGCACGGGGCACAAACCACGGGCTGGCGGTCACGAAACCACGAAACCACGAAACACTGAGGTCGCAGGTCTACAGTGTCGCTCGAGGCTACGACATTGCTTGCGACGTGTCATGAGCATTCTGGCTCAGATAATACATGGCGTGCAATGTCGTAACCAGCAGAGCAGCAACACCGGCTACTACGACTCAAGGCAGCACAACGCTGAGCTGCGAGGGTATAAAGTGCACGTGAGCATTCAGTGAAGGGCCACGAATATCTACGACACATAAACACAGCCGACGAGAAAGCCGTGCAGCGATCCATTACAAACACGGCAGGCAGCATTGCCGCGTCAACACAGCTAGACATGCTCACGCGTTCCACTCACCCGGTCCACCAGACGCTTCAGCATGTGGTGCCTGAAGTTGGGAATTCGGCTGATGGCGTCTGACTGAGTTTTCGACCTGCGGTCATATCCTCGGGGCAGGGACAGAGCGCGCCGGAACTGCGAGAGCACGGCGTCGCTCTCGATGATGTTGTCTGGTGATTCGGTCTCGCACTCTAGGCTATCACTTTCGCCGACAGATGTCAGGTCGGTTTCGTCCATGGGACGACGCGTTTTGTCCTTTTGACGCAGCTGAGATTCTCGTTTGACGATACGAACAGCTTTAATTTCTAGTGTCTTTTCTTTGGGAATGATGCCTGGAACAGAATAAAATCGGCATAGGTGCACCAGTCCCGATCGCGAATCCTTAACAATATAGACGCAGCGCAATGAGTATTTGCCTGGACTGCATCATACGTCGCCACTGAGTTTACGTCACCATGATCACACTGCACGCTGAATTGTTCGGATCTTTAAATATAGATAATAACAATATTTTCTAAAGGCTAAGATCCGTGCAGCAAAACGAGCAAACACCATAAACTGACTTCAGTTATGGTCTGACGCCCGGACGTCCCAACAAAGACCACTTATGACCACGGGTTCTCACCGTAGAACCGTTGTATCCTCTCGTCGGCCTCTGACAGCTCCTGCGGCTCGTCCCCGCTGCTGTGCAGGTCAGCAGAGCCGGCCTCGACGCATTCGAGCTGGCTCACACGCGCTTGACCGCCGTCCATCGGAGTCACGTTCATGTACTCGTGCGGCCGGCCTGGCCGCTGGGAACCGTTAACGTCCTGAGGGGCGCCGGCCATATGACGCCCGTCGGGTCCGCCTGAGCGGGGCGGTCCGCCGGTAGGCTGGGGCACGCCGGCCAAGTCGGAGGCGTGGAGCGCCGGGTGTTCGTGGGCGAGCGGCACGCGACCGGCCCGAGGATCGTGCAGGCCGGGCTGGACCTCAGACTGCGCTCTACCAGCCGGGGTGTGGAAGAGAGACTGCTGGTCGCCGCCGGCCGCGCCGAACCCCGGCCTGTGCTCGTCCGTCGGTACACGAAACCCTTGCCCTCCGGACGGTGGTCGAAACCCCTGCTGTGGCTCGCTGGGAGGGTAGTCTGTCTTATGCTCGTTGGGGCGAAATCCATGCTGCTGTTCACCAGGTCGAAACACATGCTGCTGCTGGCCATGACGAAAAACCCACTGCTGTTGTTCGCCGAGGAAAAACCTCTGCTCTGGCTCATCGGGGTGAAATCCTTGCTCTGCTTCACTGGGGCGAAATTTCTGCTGCTGCTCGGCTGCGTGAAACTGCTGTTGCTGCTCGCTCGGTGGTCTAAATCCCTGCTCCTGTCCGTAGAGGCGACGGTTTGGCTGCTGATCGCCGGGACGAAGTGCCTGCTGGCGGTCGCCGGACAGCGGGGGACCGTGCCGCGCGTCTGCAGGCCCATGCCGGTCGCTGTAGCCCCTCCCCGCCGGTGCATGCCGCTGATGAGTCTCTGGCGGCGGCGGCGGGCGCGGCTGCCATTCCTGCGCTGAGTGTGGCGCACGCGGTCCACTGGCGCCGGTCGCGGCCGACCGATCTAGGCCGTACCCGGGGTGGCTGGGCTGCATGGAGCGCAGCCGCGGCTCGTCGCCGAGGGGCGGCGCCCAGCTTTGCTGATGGGCGTGCACGGTCTCCTGGGCCGCGGTTCGGTGCGGGTTGGTCGAGCTGACCGCTGCGGGCTGTCTAATGTCCTGGTAGTCGCCTCGTGGCTGCCCGCGGCTGGCAGGCCGCTCGGTGCCCCGCGAGTGGTGGGCGAAATGCTCCCTGGACCGCGAGTGGCCGCCATGATGCTCGCCAGCTCGAATGTGATAATCTTGATATCCACCGGCCTTCGGCTGGCTGATCTGATATTCCTTGGCACCTGTCTGGCGTATCTCGCTGTTGCACGTCCACGCCTTCTGCTGCTCCGCCGCCTGGTCCTGCCAGCCGTGCTGCTCGCCGTGTCGAACCTGGCCGTGCTGTCGCTCCCTGCTCAGGGCGAGACTGCCCTTGTGCTCGGCGCCCTGCGGCTGGCCAACGCGATGGTACTCCTTGGTATGCGTCTGCACCGGCTGGCCGGCCGGGCCGCCGCCGTACTCCCCGGTCCTGACGCCGCCGGCCGGGTACTCGCCCGGCGCGCCCTGTCCGCCCCGCGGCCCGAACTGGCTCGACGGCCAGCGCTGGATACTGGCCGGGCCGGCGGCGGGGGCAGCGTCCGGCCAGAGGGTGCGCAGGTCGGCCGCCGGCTCGCGCACCAGCGACTGGTGGCTGTTGTCCGTCGGCGACGAGCTGTTGAGACCGCTGTCGAGTGACACCTTGTCCTCACGGCCCGGGTCGTCGGCGCCGGTCGGCGGCGGCGACGGCTCCCGCGCCGGTCCCGACGCGTGTCGGCGGCGCTCCTGACCGCCGCCGCGCGCCGCTGGCAGGGTGTGGTGGCCGGCCGGCGCCGGCGCCGGCGGCGGTGGCGCCTCGCGGCCCCGCGTGGAGCCGGCCAGCGGCTGCAACAGACACCAGCTGTCAGGAATGAACGGTTCACGCCCGGAACAATTGGACCGGACATCGAGACCGACGGTGAGACGTGACAGGCGAGGCCACGGATTAAGATAAACTTCGGAGCTTGTGTACGAAGTCATTCCTTTCACCCACGTCATCCATAAACGCATCGACTGAAAAGAGACAACATTGCAGCTAAGAGGTCCTATAAAATCGGAGTGGGGTGGGAATGCGGTGGGAGCAGAAATGTGGTGTTGTTTACACGGTAGTGGGTGGTCCTGTCAGCCACCCAACTGCGAGAGCACCACTTTCCCGCACCTGTTGGTCGTAGAAGGTGTTGACGAATAGCGGTGTGTCCTTGTCGAAGGCGCCGGCGCGCCCGCCAGCCACCGTGACCATCGAGTCGAGGTCGGTCTCGATCCAGCTGTGGTGGTGACGGCGACGGGCGGCCGGGTCGGCCGGCTGCGGCTGGGTCAGCGCCGCCACCTGGCGGCTCAGCTCTCGCCGCTTCTGACTCAGCTCGTCGATCAGGCCCTGCACGCGCCGCAGCTCGCCCTCCAGCGCGCGCACCTGGACAATCGCGGCACAGCCCGTCAGAGCTGGAGCACAGGAGCTTGCCGGCAGCCAGGCAGAAGATTGAAATGTGGAGTCCCTTGTCGCGACATGGCACTTACATGCAGCCTGTCAGCCACGCAGACCAAACACAAAACAGACAGGCGAAGATGATCGACCGACTGGCTACGTCGCCAAACTCAAGCCTGGCTGATCCCGGTCAGCTGCCACGTAGTGACCATTTTACAAGCGCCGCAGCTCACAGCACACGACAGAGAGCAGCGCACCTCCTGGCCGCGGGCGGTCTCGCCTCCGCTGTTTTCCTGCATGGCTGTCTGGAGGCGCTGACGCAACATCATCATCTCTCGCTCCAGCCGGCCGTTCTCCGCCGCCGTGTCCTCCAGGCTCTGAGGGCGGGGCGGACGCTGCTCAATACATTCCAGCCAAGAGGGCGGAAGGGTTGTCATGCCCCGCTCCCTCCAGCGTAGACCCGAAAGGTCACGGTGGTGCGTGTGGGCGGGGGGGGGGGGGGGCAGAATCGCTAGGAAAATTTCCATGTAAAAGCTTTGACAAAATATAAAATTCGTCTTGGCGGGAGTCTTATCGATAAAAGCCACAAGCGACAATAATGCTTTCGTTGAACTCTTACTCGGGACTTAAGACCCCGGAACGTCTCTCTGAGTGTTTCCATGACATCTTTAGGTCATCAAGTCGCTCGCAGGTGCGGATAGGCTGCTGTGTTTCAGGGACAGCCCCCTCTCCGTCGGTGAGCCGATCATCCATGCGGCTGGATCCCAACATGATCCTGTTGACATCTCGCCGTCAACAGATGTGGCACAAAAGGGAAGAGCCGGCAGAAGCAGAGCCGCCGCCGACAGAGGCGAAGCGCGCCGGTACAAGGCTGCCGCCTCCGCCAGTGCGCAGCTAGCAAGCGCAACGCCCAACAAATGAAATCAGTGTAATGAATCCCATGCACGGGTATGACGAACATCTCTCAGCGCGACCCCGGCAGAGGCCGCCAGCTGAGCTGTGACGTCACATCGCCCACCTTGGCGCTGGAACTGAGGGCGGCACGGACGCGGCCCAGCTCCTGCTGGAGCGCGCGCTGCTGCAACAGCAGGCGCTCGGAGTCGCGCAGCGGCGCCCGGCCGGCCTCCTGACGAGTGGTTTCGATCCGACGCTCCAGCCGCTCCTAGGGTCGGAGGTCATCAGAAGGTCAGCCGAGGTCAGAGGTCAGCGGAGGCCGGCCGACCAGGTCAAGAGTCAGACGAGCTCAGAAGATCAAGTCAAATTTGATTCAGCATTGTAGTCAGACCGATGAAAACAGATCAATGTAGATGTTACGGAGTTGATTGGTGGCACAGTGCGGAACGAAATGTGCCGGGATCCCCTATGTGGCTTGCTGTGAAGACCGAGGGTTTGGTGAACATCGGCACCTCATAACACAGCAGCTCATATGATCATGCTGTACTCGTAGGAATAGACTGTGTTGGGTCGTGACGTTTGCGTTCCGAATACCGGCAACAATTTTGGTTTGATTATGGCGCAGCCGATGCACTATGTGCAATTATTACGATAGCAAATGTTTTGTATGTCGGACCAGTGCAAGTTCATAGCAGAACTATTAAGGACGGCTATGTGCAACAGGTAGCAGGATGATCATCGCGGAACGCGTTGTTAGTGCGTTAGACAGACCTAGGGATGTAGTTTCCTATGCAATTTGTGGAGGAGGGGGCAGTCCTCAACTGCACGAAGAAATCTGTCGAAATCCGGAAAGAAACGCATTTGTTCATTTTTTGGAGAAGGTTCAGCGTTTTTTTGTTGTTCGGTCTCCTCCCCCCCCCCCCCCCCCATCGACTGATTTTGTGAAACTACACCCCTGGGAGAAGCTCAAGCATGTGGCGGCACAATCCGTCAGGACACAATTCCTCGTCACTCACTCCCTCACACCAGTCAATCCACACACATACTTCAAATCACTACCCAGCAACGGACCAGCCATGGCCACGTGACCTTCGCTCCCGCTGCCGCCGCCAACCTCCAGCCGATCCGTGGCGCCACCTGCAATTAGTGACGTCAGCAGCCGTGCCCGCTGCAGCAAGCGTCAGTCCCGCGCCCGGCCGCCGCCAGTGCAAAAGCCGCCGCCTTCGCCAGTGCGCCAAGCAAGCGCGACGACCATCAGTCCCGACCTTGTCAGCGCGCAGACGCTGGATCTCGGCCGCCTGTCGGTTCAGTAGCTGGTCCAGAGCGAACAGCTGATCTACGCGCGCCTGCAAATAGTGCGCTGCCTGAAACGCCGCCCCCGGCGCGCTGTTCGCTCGGAGCGAAGTGAGCTTCGGCGGGAGCGGAGTGATCTTTGCTCGGAGCAGGAGTGAGCTTTGCTCGGAGCGGAGCGAGCTACGCTCAGAGTGGAGTGAGCTTTGCTCGGAGCGGAAGTGAGCTTCGACGGGAGCGGAGTGAGCTTCGGCGGGAGCGGAGTGAGCTTCGGTCGAAGTGGGTCCAGAAAGCTCGTTCGGAAAAGCGCAGTTTGCTAGGGATAGAGTGAGCTTTGCTTATAGTAAGGCCAGCTCGGTTTGAGTGTGACGACGCATGCTACGAGTGGAACGAGTCTGGCGGAAATCCAGGCGCGGGTCGCTCCGGTCTGAACGAAACTCGGCCGGGGGAGGGGGGGGGGGGGGAGGGGACTTCCCGGAGGAAATATCCGGTTCAGCTGAATCAGATGAGTATTGGATGGGACCGTTCACTTTCACCGGGACAAAATTCACTTGGAGCGGGCGAAGCGCGCTGGAAGCCGAGCACGACACACGGCCACAGCAGCGAGCGCCGGGCGCCCTGGCCCGGAACATTCTGCCGTACCTGCACATTGAACTGGTCACCGGCGAGCGCCTGCCAGTGGCGCTGCTCCTCGCGCTGCATGCGCCGCTCTTCCACGCGTTGGGAGAAGCGGCGCCGCTCCTGCAGCGACGGCCCGTCCGGCGGGGTCTCGTACAGCGACGACAGCTTCAGCATGTTGTCCACCAGGCTGATGAGCGGCCGCGTCAGCTCGTGCTGCCGATCACGTCAGGTCATAGAACGTCAGACAAAGCGTGCTGAATCGCATCGCCCGGCCGGCAGCAGAGGCTTTGTACGGGAACCATAACATTAGCGCGAACGTCTGAACATTCGACACCACCGGGTTATGGCTAGCTGGACGTCACATCATTATTAGCGCAAATTCACATCATCACCATCACATTAGCGCGAACGTCTGAACATTCGACAACACCGGGTTATGGCCAGCTGGACATTTTAATCTCGCGGCGTGCTTACAACAAGATGGACGCCATTTTATCCAATGCGAGGCTGCCACATCGAGCCTTTTACAGCAGCTTCTTCATGCCTGAGTTCAATTTGGCCAGAGGTCCGTTTCTGATTAAATCAGCCTGATCAATACGCTTCCCCATCATCATCTCCGAAAGCACGGAAGTCGAGTGGTTTAAAAGGAAACCTAACTGAAACTTGTCCCTGCTGCCAGTCAGCAGGGAGTTCAATGGCGAGAGGTCGAGCCAGAATAGGACGTTAAACGAATTCCTAGTTGATGGGCTTGTGGGATAGAGCACATAATCTTTAGGGTTCCATCCACCAGGACACGAGCTTCTTTCCACTTTATCAATGGAGAAACCGGTAAAACGTGTTATGGAGAAAATAACGTCCCGTAAACTCATGACAGCGGCAACCATAAATGCGACGCTTTTCAAGTACACTTGCAGATACCAGCTTGTACAGAAGAATGCTTGAAAATCTCTCATGTCAGGCAAGCGCATGGTACAATATACACTAAACTCACACTGCATCGTGCTGGAGAAATAATCGCGCGATCCAAACACTTAAAGCGATGCTCCCGTGGCATGTATGCTGCTAGGTTTCGACCAAAGCAAATGCTCAACACAAGGGAACGCCACTCGCTCGACGAAAAAGGACGTAGAGCGATACCTTACACTGCCCCAACGTTCCGCCCGGCGCCGATGGCCGCTCCAATGCACTTCCAGCGGGCCGTCACACAGCACCCGCTGCCGGTCGGCCACCCGTACCTGTTTGTCCAGCTCCTTGACTTGCGCGCGCAGTCTCTCCACGTGTTGGAGCGCGGCGTCGCTCTGTAGCGACTCCGTCTGCTGGCCGGCCAGCTGCAGACAGACGGGGCGCCGCGTCAGAGCTGGGCCGGCGGTGGCGGTGTGCTGGGCCGAGTGACGCGTGCCGGTGGCGCCTGTGGCGGGCGTGCCGCGCCCGACCGGCGCCGCCGGCCGCTGCAGCCCCCGCCTGACAATAGGAGCACGGCTGGCGGCGTGCGCTGTCAGGGGGTAGTGGAATGTGGCGTGGGGAAGTGGAATATGGACTCAGGAATGGTCTGTCGGGGGGCAGATGAACGTGGTGTCAGGACCGGCGGCATGTTGTGTCGGTGACCGGCGGCATGTTGTGTCAGGCGTCGGCGGCATGTTGTGTCAGGAGCAGGTGTCCGCAGTTCCTACCAGAGCGCGTGCAGTAGGCCGGCCGGACGGCGGCATTGTGGGACACGTGAATCGGCGGGCGTCGATACTGCCGTTGCCTGGCTGGCTGCTGCGGATCGCTGCGGTGTCGGGGAATGTCCATAGAACAGGCAAACAATGACCGTCAACCCGACAGCAACTCGCGGTGTGCGCAGTGGTACGGCAGCTGTGGCTGTAGATTGCGTCACGGCGGGAATGCTGTTTAATGGTGTTGCGTAATGCACAGGACACGAGGTTTCTTTCAGTGTTCTTCCAGGGTGACCATTGATTTTCTGCACCGACCTTGCCATGCCGCCCGATCACTAATGGTCAGCTACCGTGGAGGCGCGCTGCGGGGCTCAGGACGACACTGTACTAGAACCGCTTGGTACACAGCGTCCTCCATTGTGCGATGGCATGAAGTTGTTTGCGTGCGACAAACAGGGTCGGCTGAATGGTGAATCGATACGCCATGGAATGCGCCCCCTCCCCCGCGTTGCTGCCTGGTTGCGACGACACGAGGCGCTGTCGCTGTTTCGGCAATGACATCCGGGCACACACACTGACCACGTTCCCGTGAGAAACAAAGCCAGGGGGCCAGGGGTATATAGTGCAATGACGTCAGGCGAAGTTCGGAGACCGACCAAAATCAAGTAACGGTTTTATACCAAATACACTGATCAGCTGCGCGCAGCTTTCCATGACGCAGGACACGGGCATGATGCCGTTAGTTTACCGACCGATGGCACGGCCCCGCTACTGATAATTTTATCAGCACCACGTGAGTTGAATTGGTTCGTCAAGGGTCATCGACGAACGCCACATCCTCAGTGACTTAACCGATGTGTGCCACATTTCCAGTGAATCAACCGCTGCATGCGCCAAGGACAGTGCTGATATAAAATGACAGCAAATGCATCAACGCAAAGTGGATTTTTGTTGACGGGCGAAAGCAACACGTTCGAGCAGCAACCATCAAAGGCTTGGCACGCAGCCCTCCGGCGACGCGGCCGCGTGGCTCGCACAGCAGCCACTGAATAGAAGGGCTGTGGGTTCGGTCCGGGTTTGCACGGCGACGAGGGTCGCGGTCCATAGGCCGACCGCCCTTCCGCGTGGGGGACGCACGGTCCGGTACAGGTCAGGGAGGCAGGCTTGTCAGCATTGAGGCATGTGAGACACATGGGCAGACAGCGCATGCCAGCGGAAGTGACAGTGGCAGGGGCGCGGAAACCAGGGACAGAGGCTGAGTCCCGATTTTCTGAAAATTTAGCATTGACCCTATGAGAGTCGACTATAAAGAAGTAGTCAAAATCGGCTATAAACTCACTTTAAAGTAGGAAAACCTCAGTTTCCTACGAACAGCAGAGTCGTGGTGGGTTCTCAGGACGCGTCGTCAGCCGTGTTGTCCCCTCAACTGGCCTAGCCACCAACCAGGCACTGCCCTCCCGTGGAATCAAGTATTTTCAGAGGTTAGGAGCGCGCTAAGTTCGTCTGATAGTCCCTTTGTTCGGTACAGTTTCGCGTCTCCGGGAGGCGAACTAAGCGCCGTTATTCCTCTGACGCGGGTCCCCATTTCCGAGGCATGGCTCCCACGTTCATGTCGGGGCTCCAGCGTAACGGGCGAATTGTCTGCCATCGGTCGTATTGTAATTTGAGTCCCAGCACACTGAACCGTAGGTCTATTGTCTATTCATCGGTACCAACGGGAGATGACTTCAGGAGGAACGCACGGAGCTGACAATGGCAGTCTAGCAGAAAACCTCTCGAAGGGCCTTTGTTCATAGTAAGTAGGGCTTGGAGCATCAATACAGCACACAGTCATCACTGCTGCATGGGGTGTGTCTGCGAGCGTCCGTCTGCGGGTGCGTCAGGTTCCCTGTTCTCACGCGTGCATCTCAGCAGCACTGCGCGAGGGTCCTGCACGCATTCGTGTCGTACGCGGAGCCCGGGGGTCTGATCCAGCCGTGTGGTTGGCACACGCGGCGGCGCCAGGTCTGTAGGCGACCCTGCGGGGCTCGCGTGCCTCCGTTCCGCCCGGCCGGCAGGCCGGCAACCGCTCACCGCCGCGGTCAGCTGGTGGCGCGCGCGCTCCTGGGCGGCGGCAATGGCGGCACTCTGGCGACGCAGCTGGATCAGTAGCAGCACCAGCTCTTCGTTACTGCGACCCAGCAGATCACCGGCCTTCAGGTCCGAAATGAAGCCGGCCCCGACTGCGGCCCGCGGCGACGCCTGGGGGCAGAGCCGCCAGGTCAGGTCTGGTCACGGTCGTGAAGGCTACGATAGCGGGCAGCGGGCGCGTCAGGGGCGTGGCGAAATCGTCTGACGCAACGCGGTCAGCGTAAACAAGGCAGACACAACTGACTGGTTGGGCGCAAAATGACCCCAGAAGTCGGCGCGCCCTAAAAACTCAATCATCATCAACATCGTCATCATCATAACTGGCTGGTGCGTGTGGACAATGAAGACGAATGGCCGCCATTGAACAGGGAATCTAGGACAAGATGTAACATATATTGCGCAAAGCGCTCTTCATGCTAAAGGCTTCATGCTTGTGATTCCAAGATGACCAGCCACGCGTATTTTGAGCTGCAGCAGTGGAGGAAAAGTAGCGTAGCACGCGTAACTCGTTCTGTGCTGACCGCCACATGTCCTTGACGTTCAGATGTGGGCAGCCCGTGACGCTTCAGTGCGCGTCACGTGACTTAAACGACACGATCTGGTGCTCACTCGCCCGGCAACTACGGTAAGGATTGAGTCCTGCATAATATCACCAGATGCGGAGCACTCCCATCAGCGCCGCCAATGGCCTGACCCGGCCCTGTTTGGAAGCCCGGAGGAAGTCCATAAAATTTTATGAGGCGCAGCAAACGCCCAGCAGGGCGACTGGGAGAATTAAGTGCTGCTCTGATGTTCCCATCCCCTCATGGACGACATTTCTCAGCTCACGCCTCTCTCTCGTCAGCGGTGACCCGACAGAAGGTCCAGGCGTCGTCGCTCACTTCTGCCGGTGTAGCCCAAGCCGCGGAGCGCCGTACTGGTCGGCGTCGGCGGTTGGCAGGGTCAGCTGGGTGCGGTCGGCGTTGCAGGGCAACACGGCAAATGTCCAGGCCGGCAATCAATACCTCAGCGGCGATTGGCCGGGCTGGCCGGCGCCGACACCCAGGGTCGGCAGCGGCACCCAGGGTCGACAGCGACACCCAGGGGCGGCACCGACACCCAGGGTTGGCGCCGAGGTGAGGGCCGCACCTGACAGGTCTCTGAAGCGATGTCAGTCATGGCCCCAGTCGCCGGCTTCGAGCCGGAAATCTCAACTGGTCACCCCTGGACTCATTTCGCGTAGACGCTTACCCACTCCTGTGGCGTATCCTCTTGTAAAGCGCCTATCAATGCAGCCCGGCAGCACCGTTTTTAGCATGCTCGCAGCGTGGATCCTTCGACTCCGACCGGAGGCCTGGCTCAGGGAGACCGGTCAGACCTGCCCAGACCAGGCTGCTGGCGACGGGCCCGACCTCTGACCGGCCCGCCGCCGTGCCGGGCCGACCCGAACCTGACCGGGGGGCGTGCCTGGCACGCTCGGAGCTGGCCGCCGACGGACGCCACAGGCGCGGTCGGCGGTCGGCACGACCCAGCCATTCGGCGTAATTACGTCCCAGTCGCGGCCACCGCCACCGACCGCGCCGAGCGGACGCCCAATCAGGGACACCGTGGCGTGCGGCAGAGGACCAGCCACGGCCTGCGTGATGTGAGGGAACACCATTTCTTAGCGACAAATGAGCAGCCCAACAGTATGAGAGAAGCTTGTTGAAGGACATCGACAAGTTTATATCGACAATAAATACCTCTAGCCTGTTCATCTGTTTGTCCTCGGGACTTCATACCGCAGACAGATCCTTACTTATCTCAAACATCAAAGTTCTCTATATCATCCCAGTCACATCGAAACTAACCAAGATCCGCACGACGTGCGTGAGGAACCCCAAGCACGATCTGCGTGACATGTGGCAAGTGTCTAATCACGGCGTAAAGGAAAGCATCGACACGTGATCCGGTGGCGGCGGAGGTCGGCTACGAACGCCGGGTCGTGCCGCCGCGGACACGCCGACCGGACCGTAATCATACGGCGCCGGCGGTGCTAGTCGATGGTTCGGCGGGGCCTCCCGAACAGATGATGAGCCCTGATGAGGGTTACCAGGACGACAGGCGGCCGGCGGGGGGAGGGGGGACAGCGAGCTTGCGAGCGGTGGCAGCCGGTAGCAGCGAGCCGAGCGGACAGCGACAGCCGGTCGCAGCAAGATAGCCTCGCATTGCGACAGTCGGACACACAGCGGTGTCACGATGGCTCCAGTCGGACACAGTGGGAAAGCTTCATGCAGCGACAGCCTGATACGCTCGAGACGCTGCAGACAGGGACCGCCGCACACAGCGGGACGTGTTGGACGTCGAGCGTCGGACATATCAGGACATGTCGGACGTCGAGCAACGGACACAGCGGGACGTGTCGGACGTCGAGCAACGGACACAGCGGGACGTGTCGGACGTCGAGCAACGGACACGACGGAAAGTGCCATCGCCGGGGTTAATCACCATCGCCAGAGTTCGGGCAGGCGCGAGCGGCGCCCAGGTCGGCAGCTCGCGTCACTTTTGTCCGGCATGGAGGACGGCAACAGCGATCCAAAGCCACTGGCAACAAGCGTGGTAGGGCCTGGAACCCCACCGTTCTCATCGGTTTAGACAGATCACACGTCTGGAGAACGAATGGAGCTCAGTGATGTGTAGTAATGAGTATCACCTTACTGAGCAACGACTTATTACCGCGAAATATGGTAGAAACTGCAGGCAAGAGGCCATAGCTGACATGAACAGTGAGACCATTAGCGTTCTTCCAAATAAATATATTGACGAACCACGAGGACAACACCCATGGACGATTTGTTAGCGGGCAGCTGTGAACGAAGAGATAAAGTTGGCGTACGACGAGACAAATGTGTTTAACACGCGGACGGCGATCATGATGGCCGAGGAGCGGGACAAAAGCCAGTCTCCTGCGAGTACCGTTCACTTGATAACAAAACACCGCTGTAAAGGTAATGCGTTTTCTTCGTGTTTCCTCGCGGCTGGAGAAAACACGTACTATATCAGTGAGCGGATCTGTAAATTCATCTTTCATCTCGCGGATCTAATTTTCCATCGATGACAGGCGGACGCTGATGGCTTCAGGCAACGGTACCCGCGGCAGCGCGGACAAAACGACGGACACCACATCACTCCACCACCCACACCGCAGTCGGACAGTGGCGCCTCTGAAACATGATAGCAGAACCGTCAGGGTTTTGGAAACGGCATCGATCCGGGCCAAATGAGGTGGAAGTCGATACGCTCTTTGGCGCGGAAGCCGTACACAGGCGCATCGACTTCGTTGACCGGCTTCAGTCGATTATGTTTCTAGCGACTTTTTAGGCTTCACTGGAAAGAACGAAAACACCTGACTGCGCTTTTGCCGAAACATATTTCGCCACACGAATCTGCGTGGACCCGTATAAACACGCACCATGAAAAGCTTTCACAAAGTCTCCGTATCTCAGATCGCTTTATCCACTGCAGGACTGCCCCAGCGTCTGCATGCCACTGGTCCCCGCTGTTCTACTTCATTTTCCATCTGTCTGCGACGATGTCTGCCTCTCGCCTGCCGCTTCCCACATGGCATTCTCAACAAACCCGCCCCTTGCCATGGCTGTAAGGCTGGTGGCGGGCTTTGTTCTAAGGTGACAAGGAGTGCCGCGCAGCCCGTAGAGAGCTCAGGATGCCCCTGACACTGGCCACGGTTCAAAGACAACAGCATGGATGCAGCAATGCGGGCGCGGCGGCTGCGTGAAGAAATTACATCACCTGCCACTCTCCCGTGGCCAGATAACACGATACGCGACCGCTCCATAAATCAGGGCGGTACGCAACGCTCTACTTAGCGCTGCTAAACGGTCTTGAATACGGAACCTGTCAACGTCCGAGACACTGATACGGAGTGTTGGGATCCACAGGCGATTAATTCCAGGAAAGTTTCTCACGAATCATCCCATTTCGTTGTTTATTTTCACCGGAGCGGCATCCAGTCGTCAATGCCGGTCTTTTTCCGTGACAGTCGTGCCCTGAGCGGCCAGCCTCTCTCTCGCTCTGCTCGGTTCAGTTGACCGGCGACCCGTGACCACTTCCAGTGACCCAGACAGACAAGGGTGGCAACCTCTGACCTTTCCCTGGCGGCGTGACATTTCGTCCGGCGGTGGGACGATTGTCGTCCCAATACAGCCCGGGGAACAGCTGCCGGGGCGAACGGGAGCCAATGACCGTCCATGAGTGACCAGCGCCGTTACATACCTGCTGCAATGATGCACCGAGGCGCCCCCAAGTGAGACGGGACGTGGTCGACCGGTCATGCGGAGGTCGCCCGTGCTGCCCCCCCCCCCCCCCCCCCCCCACTTACCCGGCACGGTTCGAGGCCACCACAAACCAGTGCCGGCATGGACGCACAGACGGCATAATGGCCGTTTCGCGACAGGTACCCAGCAGCACGCCGCGTTGTAGGCTCCTGCGTGCAAGATGCCCTCAGAAAGTACTATGATCGGCGGCTGTGAGTGGCAGCTACAAGGACGATCGCCGGCAAGGACGCTCGTGCCACAGTGACGAGCGAGCTCGACGGAATTTGTTGCCAAAAGCAGCTCGGCAGCAGACCGCAGCACCAGATCGCTGACATTCAGTCCGGGATCGGGACTGAGATGCCCAATCATCGGATATTCAGCATCGACCACAAGACGACGTGGAAATGCAAATGTAATATAGCGCAGATGATATAGTATCTACAGGGATGAGGCGTATACAGATGGAATACAGATGGGTGGCATCGGGACTCTGTTGAATTAGCAAAATGTTGAATGAAAGCTGGGCGGTAAATACAGTAGTCGAGCCGAACTCAAAGGCATTGCGAAAGTCGTTACACTGACGTTTTCCCGCAGACGTGCGGTAAGCTTGGCGCAGTGAGCGCCCACAGGCATGCAATGGTGGGTCGACGCGTGATATCGACTGCGGCGGAATTCCCTCCCAGCGTGCAGGGTAGCGCACTTTTACGAACTCCGGTATCACTGACCCCATTCTGTCACGTGGATCGTGCCTATGAAGCGGCGAGTACGGTGCCCCTGAATGAAAACATAGTGTGCGAAGGAATGCAACTACTGCGGTCA